CACTGACACGGTCCATGATATATTTTCCCTCGAGATTTTATTCGTTGTAAATCGAATTCCCTTCGTATTGGATTTATGTTCATATTTGGTTTGTTGGTAGTAAAAAGAACACACATATGAAATATATCAAATATCACATGGTAKAAACCAGGTTGTATGTATTAGCAATTCTAATGTAATGGAATCGTTTGCTATTGTCAAAATAGGATTCTGTAGGTAGAAAATAAAAAAAAAGATCATTTCATGGCTCGTGAATTCGTAAGAATATGAATTATATTGACGTTATTAATACTATGCCATTCGTATATTAGATCATTTTATTGAATAYTATTTCGGAGAGACGACAATTTTAATGCTAAAATTAAAAAAAAAAAAAACACTCTTTTCGGATAGGTTTCAGTCTATATGAAGTTGGAAGGAATTTATGTTGTAAACTGCAGCTGAAGCCTTTTGGGAAATGACCTTTTTGTAGGACGGGAGCTGAATGATCTATGTCTRAAACTCCAACCCTATAAGTTTTGTCTTATTTTTAAGACAACGAATAATCTAGTATTGTAATTTGTACGACGTATTGAATATTAAATAACATTAATTCATAGTTGAAACTATTATATTTTTATTAGCTTGATGATATTTTGTAAAATGGTTTTTATTTAAAAGTAGATATTCTTATATAATAATTTATTATTTCAATTAGATAACAAATTTATTGATGGATTCTTAATWTATTTATTAAATGGTAGATACATCTAGCTCTAGCATAAATTATAATAATAATTATCATAAGTACTTGGTATATATTATAAACTGTAATTAATAAAATCACTACAATTTTGAAAAATTACTTATTTTCATAATACTTTTTTTCAGTTCTTTTACTTAAGCTTTTAATTAGGGTAGAGGTATATATTTCTTTAATCTTTGGGAACTTATGATTAAAATCGATCATATTTTAAGTATGTAATCTGGTATAAAAAATTTGATATTTTGAACCATACTAGATGCACCTTTATCTAGTTGTCTATTGTGTGCCAGTGTATAGGTACAGCACCTATATAATATTATCATAAAACGAAAATAAGCTTCTATATCAAAAATTTAGGGTGCAAGTACACTTTTGACGTCTATTGTACTTACATACTACAATGGATTTTAAATTATGATTTATGGGTATACAAGTATGTATATAAGTTGAAATTAAGTTTAAATACATAATATATTTTTCAAGTTGTAACAAATATGAAACTAGCTGTTTAAAYTTTGGTGGTAAATCCGTTTTCGAAATGATATAATTTTATCTATAAAAAAAGGTAAAATACAAAAATTTTTACGATAGTCTGTGTTTTTGATTTGTTCAGGAGTCTATGATTTTGTAATATATTTTTTG